ATGGCACCCATGTGTGACAGTGAAGGAGAGAAGGATAGTCAGTTGGTGCCAATAGCATGAAACCAAGCAAAGGAGATTTCAAATAAGTATCAGAAAATTTCCCAGCAATAAATATAGCTGAATGTGGAATTAACTGCCAAAGGAAACAATGGCTTAAGTCAAAGTCACTGCAGGAAGACAGGATTAACTACACCAACAATTACTCAAAAAATCTGTTCAGTCCACAGTTTTTAGCACTTCAATACTTCCTAATCAGTTCTTGCAAACATTCACTTGGCTCACCCCTTAACAGCACCTCCAAACCTTATCTTGGTTCTTGTAACATCTTTACATGACCAAGGTTTTGTTCACTTTACTATTTGAAGAGTGAATGTTCTCCATATAAATATTCATTATTTCATAAAACCCCAGGGACTGTGGTACTCTTTTTCTTTCTTTTCCCTCCCTAAAAAAATCAGTCACCCATTAGGAAACTGAAAAGGTAACATTTGACATAGCACAATACAAGTAGTATAGCTATTAACTGAAATGAACAGATCTGCAAACACAGCTCAGGTGACATTTGTTCTGTTCACTGCTTCCTCAGTGTTAGCAAACAGAGCTGATCAATGAATGGAAACAACTCCCTTTTTGCAGCCATTCATGGAGCTTTATTATTGTTCCTGCCACATATTTGCCTTGTGTATATTGAGTATTTGCGTGACTTTCTGCATCTCCAAGTGTTTTTTCTCAAGTATATCCTACAATTCAGAAGAGAATAATTTGAAATTTGAAAAATCTTGCCATCATATATACAATGGCATCAAAAAGATTCAGATATACAGTTTAGACACAGAAAATCGACACAACCACATCAAAAAACCACTGTGAACAAAGGTATCAGTGGGTGCTTTCCACTCACAGGATTTCAGCACCCAGAAGGCCTCATATAATTATATTGAAAACCGTAGCCAAAGACTATGCAATAGCATTGCTATTGCCATTTTTGTAGGCATTCATCTGCCACAGGATAGAGGTTAAGGGAACTATTCATATGGCAATGATCCTGCAGGAGCTTACTATGATCTTCACAAATCAGCAGTAAAATGTCCTATATTGTAGTTGTCATAGCCTCCAGATGCCATGCCTTTGCTGCCTGCCTCAAAAATTCATAAATGTGGGAATGATGGAAGATATATGTCATGTGCCTTTGCTCTCTGTCTCCAAAAGAGCATGAATGAAAATCTGCCATCAGTTTTGAGTTAACTGATTCAGTGGATATTTTGCCTTTGGTTACATTGCTTTCTTCTCTGTGACTTGCTTTTTGATAAATGATGTCACTGCAAGTGTAAAGACCCTTTTTCCTTTTACAGTGTATGAAATAGATTGCTTTAAAATAAAAGCTAAAACGTTCATTGACTAAAAAAATGTTGTTTATGTTACATAAGTCTACTTGTTATTGCTTTCCAAGCTTGCTTTTCTCATGCAACTCCTCCATTAACAGCCATTAAGCAAGTTATTTACCCAGTTTTAATACTTTATTTTAATAAGATATAGCCAGCTTTGCCCTATGCAGAATGAAAATCTTTTCTAAATTTGATGTCACCATTTATTCACAGATAAAAATAAAATGTTTATTCTGGATCTTATTGTAGAGTGAGGCCCTAATTCCGTTTTTGGTAACTTCTATGAGCTCTTCAGTTAGAAGACAACCCCACAGACCTCATCTACCCAAAATACAAAGGTGCAGTTTCAAAGCCAGCCCAGATTTCAAACTTAAAGCAAAACAAAACAAAACGGAAAGAATATTTGGTAATGCTATGAAATTCTCCAGGGAACAAGTGTGATCTCTATTCCGTCTTTGAAAAGCATAACTCTTCTTTAACTTTAATTTGCTGGGAAAGGGAGAACATGAATTTGACCTCTGGTGCAAAAAAAAAATTAAATGTGTATCTTATAAGCATACACAAACAAAATAGGAACCAGAAAATATGGCAATTAATGACCTGGCTTTTGAATAAACAAGGAATTAATTTTCTTAATACTCTGAGACTAATGACCAGGTTGCAGTATCTGAAAGTAAAGTTTTTGTAGTCACTAAGTGTGTGACTTCCCAATTAAAATTTGCTTGCACTGTGAGAAAATATCCAATTTTTATATCTGAAAACATGCTTTCTAAAATATTTAAATAATATAATATATTCAATATGAATCTATAAAGTTAAAGAAAAATAATGATTGCAATATATTGGGCAGCTTTTTTTATTTAGATAATGTTTGCAAAATTTAGGGCAGATTTGACTAGAAGCCTATCTTTTAATCAGGCTTTGAAACTACTGATTATCTAAATGGCCAATTCCTTCAATGACAGCAGTATTAATCTGCAAATCACACTGTTTAATGACAGCGCTTATATTTATATGCAAATATATACACTTCTAATTATAAGGTTAAAAACTTTGCCTCTGCCAAAGGACACGTCTACATATACCGATGCAGCACTGTATACCTGTCTCCAAATGACACACTTGAAGACAAGTTGTGAATTTGTACACACTACTCCCTTGTTCCAGTAGGGCTACCTTCCTCTCTCTTAACACAGGGAAAGTTTTTCTTCTCAACTGCTCTGCTGCTGCATACTGATAGCATTTTGGGGACAGCCCAATTCCTGCGTGTAAAAACCATGCTGCATTTTAGGAGGGTTTTCATATGAAAGTCCCTATACATGTAAAAATGTAAAAAAATATGAATGTTATATAAAAAACCACAACAACTATTGAAATAACTTCTAAGACAGACAGACCAGCAATACTCTCTCAGTAAAATAACAAAGTTATGATTTGCCACCTTGGTGCTTCTGTGAAGACACATTTTATCAGTATTTTCATAGTTCCAAACATTGTTTCCTTGGCAGATATTTTTTATTCTCCTCCAAAAGTCTGTCAAGCAAGAAACTTTTCATCACATAACTGAAATCATTTTGTCAACAAGCTGTGTGTTCCTATTTCTCGCATTTACTTTAAACCTTGTCATGGTTTAACCCTAGCCAGCAGCTAAGCACCACACAGGGGCTCACTCACTCCCCTGGTCCCAGTTTAATAATGGAAATAAAGTATAATAATTATAATAATTATAATAATAAAGAATATAAAAAGCAAGTGATCCATGAAGAAATTGCTCACCACCTACCCCCTCCGGCTAACTCCCCCCACGTTTATGTGTTGAGCATGATGTCATATGGTATGGAATTCCCCCTTAGCCAGTTTGGGTCAGCTGCCCTGGCTGCACCCCCTCCCAGATTCTTGTGCACCTGGCAGAGCACGGGAAGCTGAAAAGTCCTTGACTCGTGTAAGAACTACTTAGCAACAACTAAACCACTAGTGTATTATGAACATTATTCTCATCCTCAATCCAAAACACAGCACTATACCAGCTACTAGGAAGAAAATTAACTCTATACCAGATGAAACCGGGACAGCCTCTAAAAGCATCCTGTCATGTACCTACATAATTTCAACAAAAAAAATATACTACTTTTACCTGTAAATATTGCAGCAAGGTCATGGGTTTTATTGTTTGATTATGCTACATTTTTTCTGTTAAAGAGTGCCATATTTTACCGTAAGCTACATGTTCGTTTCTTGTATCGAACACCTGAATTTGCATTTGATGTAGAGGTAAGGAGATATACTTGAAAGTAAGTATTTATTAAGCTGCAAAATTAACCACACTGTAGTGTTTGTTATACATAAAACAGCATGTAAAACGTCTCAGTAGTATGATGGTAAACACTTATTTATTAAGAGCCATGTACTGAATAATCACAGTGGTACTTAAAACTTCAGAAGTTCAGTTTCTCTTTGAGTAAGATTCAACTTTAGAATAACCCACAGTTCCTCAGATAACAGATATGCTGTTGTTTTTTTACAGATGTATCTAACATCCACGTGTGCCTTCAGCACAGCAGCACCAACACCACAGCGAGTTGTATTTGATTTGCCAACTAAATTACTGCAGCTGCTGGGAAATTCTCCATGGTTTAATATACATTTTTAAAGTAGGGTTTTAATTCATTGCACAGAAATAGGAAAAATAATATCAAAAGTCAATTCTTTGTGGTTCTTATTGGTCTATAGCCTTTTGACTATCTATCCAAATCAAAACAACAACTGAAATCACAAGGCATTTTTATTTTGTTAGTTAGGATGGCAAAGGGCTCCCATATGCCTTCAGTCACCCAGTGAAGTCAATAGATGAGACCTCTAGATGTGTTTCCCTACCTTATTCTAACAACTGGCTATTAAAAGACAAATCTCAAATAGTCCCTTCCGGCTAAAATACCAACAAAGCCAAGATACTGCATAAAAAATACGTACTCAGAAATAGGACACCAGACACTTAATTTTCTGCAGGTTTGTAAACTTTCTTTAAGTACTGGCTCTATTGAACTGAAAGAAAGGCATTTAGAAACTGCCCTTGCTTTTCTTAAAACACAATCAGTTCTGCTCTTAACTTCAGAAGCATTTGACCCATCGGTCATGCAGAGAAATTCTAAAGTCATATTCAAATAATAAATGAAAAACCTCTGAAATACACGTCACATATTTAGCCAATGTGAGTTACTCTGATAGAATTATTATTTATTTGCTTTAATTTTATCTCTAGCACTAGGCAATGAATTATCTCCTGTTTCCCTGACATTTGTCTGAATACTGTCTTTTCCTCAACTGGCCCGTGTTCAAGCTTATATAATAGCAAAAGTCTCTGCAAAAGAAACCACAAAGATCAAAAGGAGCAACTTTAAACCACTATTGTGAATTCTGATGCTGCAATTTATGGAGAAGAACAAACTAGCAAGTAATAGTTAAGGTTACAATAAATATTTCATAAAGCATGATTAGCAATCCTGGAACATCTTAATCTATCTAAGCAGAAAGTACTTGAGATTCAGATTTAATCTGAGATCCAAACCCAGTTTTTATTTAGGTGAAAAAAAAAAGTATGATCATGGAAAAACTTACAATAGGAGCAGCCATAGATTTCAGTTCTTAACCCAATTTGGCCCTCTCCATTCCAGTCCAAAGGAACTATCCGTACGTAGCGAGCTATAACTGGATGTTGTAAATCATGCCGGACCACACTATCAGAATTTGTATTTCCAGGAAATGCCTAAGGGAAAGAAGAAGAAAAATATTGTATTACTTCTATCTCACATGCTATAAAGCTTCTGTTCTGAAGGAAAACATCAGGTAGTGAAGTCCTCTGAGTGTCTAGGTTACACTGAAGTTTGGTTTAAATGTTTCTCTGATAGTGACCAAATTAACAGTTGATTTACAAAGTTTCACAAGAATACCAAAACAGTAGCATTGAGACTTCTTTATCCACAACAGATATATTGAAATCATGGAAGAGCTACTGCTAGGTAAGAAAGTAATCCACTTTGCATCACTACTCTATTACTCAACTATTAACATGTTAATAAAATTGTCCAACCTAGAGTGGTTTCTCTTTGGGAAGAAGATACCCATCCTCTATCAGTAAGATTATATACACCAGTCATTTTTCTCTAAATAGGAACACTGAAATAACTTGCTTCCTACAATAGACAGGGACCCCTTCAATTTATCAAATTTCTAAGAATTTAAAAATCTTCCTTTACTTTTGATGCATTACCTACTGAAAAGTGAGTGTCCAGTTTCTTTCCTATCCATAGCTGTCACCCACAGCGCCACCTATTTTTGGTTAATAGAACTTTGGAAGTCAGGAAAGGACACAAGAGCTCTCAAGGGAGTTTTGAAAATCAATTAAGTAAATACTTAGCACTTTGTTTGTAGTTTTGTACCTATTGGTAAAATATTTCATAGCATCAAGCTTAAAAGTAAACAAGTTTTACTTAACATAACAGACTATTTTTTGTCTTGTCAGCTTACTGACAATCTATTCATGCACTGATGGCCGAAGTTAAAGACTATCATTCAGTCATTCTCAACATTTTCAGAGGAACTTTCACATCTCTTCATGGGTAATTTTCAATAGAAATAAGTGTCTTTTAACAGTGAACAGAGTAGTCATAAATGAACAAAGAAAAGGTGACCCATTACTAGAAAGCCTATGAAAATAAGAAATTTCTGTTCATCCTCATTACAAAAGGTAGTATTGCTACAGAGAAAAAAATACTCAGTTGTAGTTTCTACACAGTTACCATCTTAATAAATCCATATAAAATCCTATGATAGATACCCATAGTGGAACTAAGCCCAAAAAGTCAACTAGGCTGTAAGGAATACTGCTGCAAAATATAGTCATCACACATTTGAAAGAGGCAAAATTTAAGTTGGCCCTTTGCATACAGATGTAGCAATACCTAATTACATGCTGAGATACTACTTATTCCAAAAGGATATCTTAGATGAACAATTATTTTCTACAGTGTGCAGTAGATGTAGGTGGTGGTAAATGCAAGGAAGATCCACAAGATTCTTTCCTTGGTGGACTCCTAAAATTATGATATATATTAATGGCTACATTCACCTTAATTTTTCTGTACTGCAGCTATTAATATGCTAAATGATGATGATGGTACTCCTCACTTCATAGCTGAGCTTGTAAGAGACATTAATTAATGTCTATGAAGCACTTACATATTCAAGTGGTAGGTGTTTATAAGGAAAGTAACAGTTCTGTCTTCAGAGCTGAATAGAAGACAATAAACAACAAAGGAAAGCATACACTGAATGAGGACAAAAAGGTTGAACAGCTTCCTATTCCCTCAGTCTTTTTCTAGGAATCACAGAACTTCATGGAGGGAATAAAGAATTTGATCCTTTGAAATATTTTTTAGTGAGCATGCAAGGTAATGCTCCATATTTCAAGAGGAATTTCTGTTTAGGCATGTCTTATTTTTGTGATGCTTGTCATAGTCTTACCAAAACTCTCTTAATGTAGTTTTTTGCTGGTTGTTTTGGGTTTGTTTGTTTGTTTAACTTGCTAGAAGTATTAGGGGCAAAGGAAGATGAATATAGGAGGGCATGATATCTTCTATATAATTTGATTATATGATTGATGAAAGCCGATTCTCAACATCAGAATAATTTTCTGTACCTCTCCAAACTTTGTGCCCTGGCCTGTGCTTTACCAGTACGTTATCAGAAAGACTTAGGGTCAAAACCAGAAGGTGTTTGATATTTAGACAGTTTCCATTGGTACACAATCCAGTAACACTTGCTGAATGCATAAACACAGTCAATAGAGAATAGGGCGTTCTGTCATTAGTTTCCCCAATTATTAAAAAGCATTCCCTTTAGTCTCCAGCAGAACAATATCTTGTAAATACAGCTGTCATTTAGATAAATGTGGTACAGTAATGCACACTCTGTGGATAATGCAAACATCAGGCCAAAATCCATCATTGTAAGGCTGAAAAATCAATCTACAGAAGCTTGTGAATCACATAGTATTGCTGTAAAATCTCCTTTTCTGACTAAGAGTTGTACGTGGACTCCAAAAGGCAGGTTCTCATTAAAAACTGCGTTTATACAATTTTCAAAGCCTCATGTTTGCTAAGGTTAACAAGCAGTTTAATAAGATTTAAAAGTGTAATTTAGACCCATATAGGAGATTTTTTTTAAACAGCGAGTGAATCTCTGGCAAAAAAAAAAATTGCTTCAATGTATGCTCTTTCTAGGGTGATGTGAAAATAGGGCAATGCATGGAACAGTAGGATTACATTTCTTTTCGAGTTAAAAGATGAAGAACAACTAATATTTTTTTCATAACTTTCTTTAATTACGAGTAATTTTTTCATTACTTTAATTATGTACTTACTATTATACTTCTTGACAGTTATATTTTGCCATTGGCAAGTTAAACAAAGGAGAGAATAATTTATGGGTCTGAATGAAAAAAATCTAGGCTTCTAGCTTCATTTTGACATAGCAATAGCAAAACCACTACAGGGTCTATTTTCCATTGTACTAAAGCTTTATAAATGGCTCTCATAATCAGAAATAGAAGTTTAGTATTATAAAATATGGAAACATCCACAGACAGATAGAAGATGTCTGTGGGAAGCACAACTGGATTTTCTTTGAGGACTCTAAAGTGAGTTAAGTATGGAGCTGGCTAAACCTTAAATTTTTTATTTTCTAGAAAATCCCCCAAATTCCAAAACAAATACTTGTCCAAAAACTAGAAGGATTCAAACTTGAGAAGTTGATAGCTTTTGTTATGGCTGTCAGGTCCCTAGCTCCACAGAAAAGAAAATATGGAAAAATTTGCTCTTCCCTTGAGTTCTCAGGACTCTGCACCATCAAGGAGAGGAGCAGGGCAGGTTGGGTGCTCTTGCCCAGCAGTGCTATAGAAGGGTGCTCAGCATGGCAGGGCAGTCCAAATCCATGGGTGATTGAAAAATTCACATGGCGTACTCGTTCTGCACAGGCTGACTGAAATCCACACTAGATTTCAGAGAAAACAAGATGTTTCAAAAAAGTATTCATGCTGTACCCCATGAACACTTTCCAAAAAAACCCACCAAACCCTTAACTTCATTAGAAAACTGAGTCAAGTACTTAATTGTTACTGAAACATTTCTCTGCTGAATATCTATGAAAATCCAGCCCAAATGTATGTCGTGTTTAACCCGGCTGGCAACTAAGCACCACGCAGCCACTTGCCCACTCCCCCCTCCCTCAGTGGGATGGGGGAGAGAATCGGGAAGGAAAATAAAAAGTTAGAGCCGTGGGCTGAGATAAAGACAGTTTAATAAGAGAAAATAATAATAATAGTAATAATGAGAATGGTTACAGAACATACAGAATATACAAAACGAACTATGCACAACTACAACACTACTAACAACAACACTACTAACAACAACTATGCTTGCCACCCGCCGACCGATGCCCAGCCCGTCCCGAGCCGTGATCACTACCCGAGTCATGATCAGTCCCTGAGCCATGATCTCTCTCCCCACAACTGACTGATTACCCTGCCCCGAGCATGATGTTCTATGGTATGGAATAGCTCTTTGGTCAGTTTGGGTTAGCTGCGCTAGCTGTGCTCTCTCCCAGCTTGTTATGCACCTGGCTGAGCAGGAGAAGCTCAAAAAGTCCTTGAGTAGTCTGAACACTATTTGGCAACAACTGAAAACATCAGTGTGTTATCAACATTCTTGTACTAAATCCAAAACACAACACTATGTTAGCTTCTGTGAAGAAAATTAACTCTATCCCAGCCGAAACTAGGACATAAACAGAAACAGCAAGAATAAAATGACTGGGTAAAAAAAAATGTTAAGAGATTAACTTCAAGGAGTAAGGGGGGGGGGGAGGGAAAGAAGAAAAAACAACAGCTGGTAAGAAAGCTGATTGCAGAAGGAATGAAAAATAGCAAACGAACAGAAAAAATTGAATGGGTCACAAAGCAACAAATTTGTGTTTGGTCAATTTTAGTTTAGTTTTGACACAGTCCTGTACTTTCTTGTCCTAGTGCTGTGTAGAGTAAGAATAGGTGATAGGAAGTGGCAGTCTTTTGCTTAAAAAACCAGGTCTTTATACTCTCTATTGAACAGCACAATCAGTAACACTACAGCTTGCATACTCTAGTCTTTCCTTAAAACCAAGCCAAACGTTCACAGCAAAACAACATTGCTGTATCATCCTTCATAAACATCTCACACAATAATGCATCTAAATATGAAAACAGTATCTGAAAGCAATTAAAAACTATAGCAGATATTTTCCTTAGGCCAAATCATGAAACTCCTAAATGATACCTTCAACAGGTGCTGAATCTCCACTTGGAGACTCACGGTTATAAAATGACAATATGTGTCTAAAGTAAGCATTATAATGCTGCTGGTGGTACTCTGTGCTCATATGAACTTGATTCCAGTATCAGAGATACCAGTAAACTCCCAATTTCAGTACAGTTACCCACATCCTTCCCTCAGCCACACATCTCAGTTAAGCAAGTTACCTATGTTATCTGTGTAGTACCACTGAAAATATCTACTCACATACTCAAATTAAGGAACTTGGTGAAGTACCCACTTTAAATCAGGTCTTAAATTAATATATAAGGACTAGAGTGTTTTCTAATGCGATGTCCAATGAAGACAGAAACGAGAACAGTAGATTAATTAAGTCAAGAAAATTGTATGAAACACTTCA